AAAAAAAGAAGGAAGAAAATTCCAATACATGTTACAACACAGATGAACCCTGAGGACACAATGCTAAGTGAAATAAGCTAGTCACAAAAAGACAAATGCTGTACGATTCTCCATATATGCAGTTCATAGAACATTAAAATTCCAAGACAGAAAACAGAATGGTGGTTGCCAGGGGATGTGGGGACAGACAAAAGGGGAGTAGTTTTTTAATGAGCATAGAGTTTCAGTTTTGCAAGGTGAAAAGTTTTTGGAGATTGGTTGCAAAAAACTGTCAATGTACTTAACACTACTAAACTATACACTTTAAAATGATTAAAATGGTGAAATTTTATGCTATGTGTATTTTACCATCATTCAAAAAAAGGAATGAAGCACTGATACAGGCTACAACATGGATGAACCTTGAAAATATTATGCTAAGTGAAAGAATCCATTCATATGAAATGTCCAGAATAGGCAAATCCATAGAGATAGAAAGTATATTAGTGTTTATTAGGGGACGAGGGCAGGGAGAATAGGACATGACTGGTAATAAGTATGGGGTTTCTCTCTTGGGTGATAAAAATTCTGAAATTAGTGGCATCAGTTGCAGAACTTTGCAAATATTCTAAGGACCACTGTATTCTATACTTTAAAATATTGAATTTCACATTTTGTGACTTACATCTCAGTTTTTTTAAACCCTCGTATCTTATTATTTTATATTTCCCAGAGTCTAATATATTGCTATACTCCAAGCACAACTTGGTGAGTAAAAAATCTCAAATGTTTTAAAACTTACAAGTGCAGACAGACATCTATATAAACATACATACACATACTCACACTAACGCAAATATTTGTTTATTTGATAAATTGTGGAAGATTATGTTATCCTGGGGGAAATAAAAAATCTTAGAATGGTTAGTATTATCTAAAATTCTATGCTAAGAAGGAAGCCAAATTTTAAATAACTGGTAATCTAGAGCAGTAACTGCATGTAATGTGAGAACAAGCACAACTTCATTACTGTAATAATATTAAGACCAATAATTAGTATTCACTGAGCACTTACATTGTCAGGAAGGCACTGTTATAGCCCTTTACATGCCCTGTCTCATTTAATGTCCACAATAATCAGTAAAGTAAGTATATCATAGTCTTCCATTATACAGATGAGGAAACTGAGGTATAGAGTATTCATATACAAAGAAAGTAGTAAGTTAGATTGAGGCAGTTTAACTATAGAGCCCCGTAACGATCAGAAACCGGAGTCAAGAGTGTTTTTGCACACTGAAAATCCACCCAGATTAGAACACACAATTCAACTATATGTAAGATATGCTTCTTAATCACTCTTCTTAAATTAGTGATTTTAACAATTAGTTTCAAGTCAAAATATTACACATTGCACTAACTTAACTTTACTGTATCAGTAAACATTCTACAAATAATTTGAAGACATGGTCATTCATATTAATTCCTAAATTGTTTGAAAAAACAATATAATACTTACCTTGTCCTGGGTCGCTGTTCATCTTCAGATTCACTAACTTCTTCACTAACTCCTGATTCCTGAAAATCAGAATCTTCTGACTCTTCACTGCTCACTTGAATTAAAAAAATATTTTAAATTATTAAATATTTTCTAATAACAACACAATTCATTTAACTTGCCAGTAACTCCATATTAAAAGAGCATTATAAGAAGAATATCAGTAGTATACATGTGAATGGGTATTACACCATACAGAATATACCAGTTAATGATGTAAATGGTATCTATAAATATAATTCAAATGTATTCCAAATAATTATAAAACTATGGTTTTACATTAGAATATAAGTATCCAATTGCATGTATATTGAAAAAATGAGAATAAATTAGCTATCAGTAAAATATATAATTAATTACTGAAGGTAAATTAAAGAAAAAGAAGTCTGGCTATTCAAAACAAGCAAAGTAGGCTGGCCAAGATGAAGTAAGATGATTATAGATTCTCCCCTCGAATAACGATAACAAAAATCTATGGATAGGATACATAAGGAAACAATCTAAGGACTGTGAAAGGGAAACAACAGGAGGCAGATTGGGAACTGAAATCAAAACTGGAATAATGACTCCTCTATAAATAGGGAAGAAGGGGCAGCTGTGAGTGTCATAGGTTATTTTCCTCCTTTGTTTCTTGGCTTTGACTGGAAGGCAAGCTGAATTCCGTAAGTATGCAGAGGGTGCTGACAGCAAACTGTGGAACAAACCCCCTATTTCTAGCCACACCACCAGGAAATGGGGGCCCTATATGTCACAAAGAATCTCCCAACAAAATATTCATTAAATACAAATAGAAAAATAGTATCTTTTTCTTGACGCTGGAAAAACTAGCAGATACCAACTTAACCAAGTAATCGAGGTTAACAATAAGATTAATAAGGCATATCGATATCATATACCTTTTATATGATGTATTGAAAAGAACACATCACTTCTCTGGTATTCTTGTCAAAATGCATAATAACCTTAATTTAATTATGAGAAAACATTAGACAAATATATATCAAGAAACAGTTGAAAAAATAATAGATCAACACTCTTTACAAGTATCATGGTCAAGAAAGAAAAGACTGAGGACCTGTCAGAGATTGGAGTAGATAGATTAAGGAGACATTATAAATGAACGCAATATGGGATCCTAGATTGGATCCTCGAGCAGAAAAAGGACATTAGTGGGAAACCTAATGATATTTCAATAAGATCTATTGTTTACTTCAGAGGTCAGAAAATATTTTATATAAAAAGCCTAATAGTAAATATTTTTCACTTTGTGGACCACATGGTCTCTGTTGCAACTACTACTTGTCTCTACTCAACTTTGCCATTGTACATATGTGAAAACAGTAAATGAAAGAATATGGACATGTTTCAATTAAACTTTATTTATAAAAACAGAGACAGGATCAGATTTGGCCCACAGGAGTAGTTTGCCAACTCCTGGCTTAGTTAATAGTATTATATTGATGTTAAGTTCCTGGTTTTGATAACTGTACTATAAGTGTAAGGTATTAACTCAGGGAGGCCAGAAGAAAGCTATACAGGAATTCTGTACTATTTTTGTAATGTTTATATAAATCTAAAATGGTTTCAAAATAATTTTTTTTAAAATGATCTATCATGACCTGAGATCAAAATCAATAGCTAGTTCTATTCTAGCTAAAAAAAAAAAAAAAAAATGGGAAAACATAAATGCTATAAAGAATTGTTAAGGGGAAGAAAGGGGAATTACTGTTTAATGGGTACAGAGAATGATGAAAACACCCTGGAGACAGATAGTGGTAATGATTGTATAACAATGTTAATGTACTTAATGCCACTGAATTGTACATTTAAAAATGATTAAAATGGTAAATTTTGGCCGGGCGCAGTGGCTCACGCCTGTAATCCTAGCACTTTGGGAGGCCGAGGCGGGCGGATTGTTTGAGCTCAGGAGTTCGAGACCAGCCTGAGCAAGAGTGAGACCCCGTCTCTACTAAAAAAAAAAAAAAAAAAATAGAAAGAAATTAGCTGGACAACTAAAAATATATATAGGAAAAATTAGCCGGGCATGGTGGCGCATGCCTGTAGTCCCAGCTACTCGGGAGGCTGAGGCAGTAGGATCGCTTGAGCCCAGGAGTTTGAGGTTGCTGTGAGCTAGGCTGACTCCATGGCACTCTAACCCGGGCAACAGAGTGAGACTATGTCTCAAAAAAAAAAAAAAGGTAAATTTTATATTATGTATATTTTACCACAATAAAAAACAAACAAAAAAAGAACTGCTAAGCAACTGTGAAGTTGGGAGAGCACCAAAAACACACATATTGACACGTGTGCCTACACACACAAATTCTCAGGTTAAGTAAAATTTTAAACCTAGTATTAATTTTTCACCCAATACTTAATTTTTAAAAAATTCAAACCTACCAAAAACTTGAAAGAATTGTTGAATGAACACTTGTATCCCTTCTCCTAAATTCACTTATTTTTACAGTATGCCACATTTGCTTTCTCTCTCTCTATACACACACACACACATATCCTTTTTTACACTGAACTGTTTGAAATTAAGTGAGACATCATGACACTGTACCCCTAAGCATAAGGATACTGTCCTACATAACTATATGCCATTATCACACTTGAAAAAAATAACGTTATCATCTAATATAAAGGCAATATTTACAGTTTCAAAATTGTTACTAAAATAATTTTATAACATTTTTCCAATTTAGAAGAAAATTAAAGTTCACATGCTATGCTCTGTTCTTATACCTCTTTAATGCATTTCAATTTAATTTTAATTTAATGATTAGATTCAATAAATAAGCTATTCTCTTTTGATTTTTCCCCATCTCCCAATTCAAGTTTCCAAACAATGTACAGACATCAGTTTACAAAACTTGAAAATCATGCAACTTCAAATGTATCAATCACTATGACTAGAATCCATATTAGAAACATAAATACGATGGGATTTTAGGAGTTTACTCTCTCTTACACAGCCAACCAACAGAGAAACACTTGGGAAACAAATTACCCACAGAAGGAGACAGCAGAAACACAGGTCACAGAAAACTTGGGTCTTAATAAAGTAAATCTCAAATGTAATATCTACATCCTGAGGTGAGCCTCAGTAGCAAAATCAATATTGTTCCTTTTGTTGAAGATGCACACAAATATATTATGTTATATATAACCTATAAAATCATTCAGTTCCTTCATAAAATCTGTAAGAAGAGCCTGTAGTCATGCTGCAAAGAAATCTATAAGCATTCACAAAATTACGTACTATTATTTATTAACATGAAAATACCCATGGCATATTAATTGTATGTGTGCATGGCAGGGACTTCCTCCTCCTCTCTAATGGAGAACTCTTTCTCAAAAGCCCTATAACTGTTTAGGATTCCAAGAATCTTTCTTTAGCCCTACATTTGCAAAACATTACAGCTCCACTGAACAACCTCAACTATTTTTGTGGCATTATACATATACCATGACAACTCTAAAAGCCTGACAATCATCCTAGACTTTTCCCTTTCGTATCAGTTCAGAAGACCTAATAATTCAATCTCCTGTATGACTCAGGTCAATCTTCCTCTTCTCCAACAATCCTACTTAGCATCAACTCTACCAATATCTTCCACATAGATTCAATGCCTCCAGTCTCAATGAATAATAAGCAACCAATCTGATCACATTACATCCTTTATTAAAGCCTTTCCACAGGGAAAAAAGTGGTCATGCTGAGTTTGGGATTCTTGGGTAGTAGTAATAAACATCCTGTTCCTTCACCCGGATGTCTTCTTTGTGTGTTCATTAAGCTGTCCTCTTATAATATCGGCACTTCTTTGTATTATACTATACTTCAAATAAAAAGTTTTTTTAAAAAGTGGTGGTAGCCGGGCGTGGTGGCTCTTGCCTGTAATCTCACCACTTTGGGATGCTGAAGTGGGAGGATCCCTTGAGACCAGGAGTTTCAGAACAGTCTGGGCAATATAGTAAGACCTCGTTTTCTACAAAAAATGATTTAAAAAAATTAGCGTGGTGTGGTGGCAGGTGCCTGTAGTCCCAGCCACTCGGGAGGCTGAGGTGAGGGGATTGCTTGAGCCTAGGATGTCAAGATTGCTGGGAGCTGTGATCGCACCACTGCACTCCAGCCTGGGCAACAGAGCAAGGCCCAAACAAACAAACAAACAAAAAAAGAGTGGTGGTATTTCTCTGGGAATATACTAAAAACTACTAAACTGTACATTGTTAATGGGTGAATTGTATGGTTTATGAGTTATATCTCAATATATCTGTTAAACAAAGTTTAAAAATACAATAATAATAAAAACCTTTCAATGATTCTCTCTAGCATTTAGAGCCTATTGTACTTCTCAAATACAACTAAAAATGCTCTCCCACTCCTAGTGGCAAAGAACAGTTAATCTGTCCTTCAGGGGTTTGGTAGTACCTATAGCCTTTGGAATCTGCCCCTAACAAGCAAAAAAAAAATTTTGTCTTTAAATGCTTTTTATTACCCAAAATTCTCAGGCAAATATCACATTTAATTGCCCAATATGCATGATTATTCAATATAAAATGCCCCTCCCAAAATCTCAAGTAAACTGGAGACACCAAAGAGATGTACCCCTTGGTAAACCACCAAGTATTCCAGTCTGAGAAACACAGGCTTACAAGGGTCTCCAGAATCTGGTTTCTGTCTTATAAGCTCAGTCTCATCTCCTGTTGTTCCTTTCCTTACTCTTACCTATAGTCCAGCTTATACCATATTAATTGTATCCCCTTCATCACATGCCAAACATTTTACACAAGCTCATAAAATGTTTTTCCCTGTTTGTATTATAAATCTTCACAACACATCTACCCTGCTCCCCATTTCCAATTTGATCTGCTTCGTGAAATCCTTCTTCTTCATGAAGGCTTCTCTGGAGATAACCCTCACTCCTCAAGAAGCTAAAGAAATCCTCCTTTGTGCCACACTCTATTAGGTCACTAAATATGAAATGTTGGCCAGGTACGGTGGTTCACGCCTGTAATCCTAGCACTCTGGGAGGCTGAAGTGGGAGGATCGCTTGAGGTCAGGAGTTAGAGACCAGTCTCAGCAAGAAGGAGACCCCAGCTCTACTAAAAATAGAAAAAATTAGCCAGGCGTGGTGGTGCATGTCTGTAATCCCAGCTACTTGGGAGACTGAGGTGCGATAATTGCTTGAGCTCAGGCGTCTGAGGTTGCAGTGAGCTATGATGAGGCCTCTGCACTTTAGCCTGAGCAACAGAGCAGGACCCTGTCCCCCCCAAAAAAACAAAGCCAACAACAACAACAAACCTTGCTGCTAATTCACACATAGGTTGAGATGGATTCACTTCCACTACAGCTTTCAGCTCATTATCCACCTTGTTCTCAGGTTGCCCACGTGGCTCATTTTCAAGATTAAGCTCACCAAATGGAACTTTTCAAACCATTGACGCACTATGCATTCATTAGCCACCCCATTCCCAAACACTTCGTTGATATTACCAGCTGTCTGCGCAGCATTGGTTCCACGATGGAACTCATATTCGTAAATAACACCAATTTTTGACTTATCCATGGTTTCACAAAAATTGCTCTAAAAAAATGTGAAAGATAATCACAAGCCAAACTCCGTGTCTGAAAGACTAAGGATGGCTGGGCGTTGTGGTTCATGGTTGTAATCCTAGCACTCTGGGAGGCCAAGGAGGGAGGTTCACTTGAGGTCAAGAGCTCGAAACCAGCCTGAGCAAGAGTGAGACCCCGTCTCTACTAAAAATAGAAAAATTAGCTGGATGTTGTGGCTCTCGCCTGTAGTCCCAGCTACTTGGGAGGCTGAGGCAGGAGGATCGTTTGAGCCGAGGAATTTGAGGTTGCTGTGAGCTTGGCTGATGCCACAGGACTCTAGCCTGGGCAACAGAGTGAGACTCTGTCTCAAAAAAAAAGACTAAGGATGTACCTTCACAAAAAAAAAAAAACCTAAAAAAAGAAGTGTCAATGTGAAATATCAGAAATCAACTGTCAAACTTAGTACTTAAAGAATTCGGACATTTCATACTTTATTACCTAATATAATGCCTCTGTTACACAATATGCTCTTCATAGCTCTATACTATTTTATATTATAAATATGAATAATTCCTACTAAGCCAGTGACTACCAAACCTACTTACATATCAGAATCACTGAGATGCTTTTAAAACATTTAGACACCTAAGTCCCACTACAACCAATTATGATACAATTAGCTTGGGATGGAACCCAGTCATAGGTATATTTTAAAACTTCCCAACTGATTCACATGTGTAGCCAGGTTGAAAACCACTATACCAGACAATGATAACCTTATTCATTTTTGTGTTCTCGATGCTTACCATGATGTTAGAAACATGAAAATGCTCAATGCAAAAGGATTCATACTTTCAATGAAATGAATATTTAATCTGACTACATGTAAGTCAAGTTTTGCATATAAGCTTGCATAAAACTACCCAAATTAATTGTACCTGCTACCTTTCCATGGAAAAGCACTATGTCTTCTTGCAGTTGTATGGAATCTTATATTTTCTACATAACCTTCAAGTATATTTTATTTATTAAATCACATTTATTTCTCCTTATAATCTAAACATGTATGACAACTAAAAGTTAAAAATATTTTTGTGTCAATTCACTTTTCTGGGTTATCTTCCCATTCTAAATTTGTTTGTTTGTTTTGAGACAGAGTCTCACCCTGTCACCTAGGCTGGCATGCAGTGGCATGATCGTAGCTCACTGAAACCTTCAATTTCTGGGATTCAGGGATCCTCCTGCTTCAGCCTCCTGAGTAGCTAGGACTACAGGTGCATGCCACCATGCCCAGCTAATTTTTTTTTGTAGAGACAGGGTCTCACAATATTGCCCAGGCTGGTCTGGAACTCCTGGCCTCAAGTGATCCTCCCACCTCAGTCTCCCAAAATGCTGAGATTATAGGCGTGAATCACCATGCCTAGCCCAGTCTAAATTCTTTATTTCACTCTCATGTAAGAGAATAGTTGCTGCCAGTACACTGATACTCATTTAATATAGATCGTCAACTGAACAGATATACTTACATTTCATTACTATAATTAGTTTATAAAACCAGTATGTTCCTTACATTCAGAATGAAAACATCTTACCCTTCCTTCTATTTCTGCCCTTGGCTTCTTTATGCTCTTTAGACTTTGTCTTTTTTTCTTCTCCAGATTCTCCATCACTCACAGTTAGTTTGTGCCTCAAAAGCCTATGTCTGTATCTTGGCTTCTTAGATTCTTCAGAATCTGAATCTGATTCAGAATTGACTTGATTTTTTGCTTCTAAATAAAGAAAATAAATCAATGAAACCTTTTTCTTCAGTCTTTTTCCTTTAAAATGCTTTGTAAAATTATTTTTTCTGTTGACAATTATCATAATTTATGGGAAAGATCAAAGTTGTACATATACCTTGGTATCAATGGTGATGCCAGGTAATCACCTGAGACTGGATATATTATTATTATTAAATATTGACTAAATATCACCAATACACATTTGTAGAATTTTTTGTAACATATAAAATATTACACTTTAAAAATTATTTGTTTATTGGCAATAACTGACAAAATTAGAGTAAAAAATACTTCCACAATTATTACAAGATACTCAAAAGCAGTCATGGTAATAAAGTTTTAAACATTTTAGTAAACTCTAAATGCACATATTAAGAGATTTCTTGGTCAGATAATCTTCAAAGACTGAACTGGTCAAGGAATCATATTAAGACATTCTGCACTTCTCTTTGGGGAGCTCACCCTCATCTCCTGTGTTTTCTTCATTTTGTTTTCCAGTTCTTTTTTTCCCTTCTTCTGATTCATCATCTGAAGATCCATCCTCATCAGAGGAAAGATTGGCTTTAATTTCTTCCAAAAGCATCTTCTTGGCAATTCTTGAGAGTAAAAAAACAATTAAAAAAACCATATATTTGGGGGTGAAATATACCAAATTAAAAACAAAAACAGAATTATATGTATCAAAATAGAAATAAATGTGCCAATAGATTTTATATTGTAAATAAAAGGCTAGCAAAACATTTTGACCTAAGGTATATACAAAAACTTCTGAAAATGTTCTTTGCATGGATTATTTCTCAATTCTATACAATTCCGCAATATAATGAAAAATCTGAAGGATATATTCTATTGACTATTTTGACCAATTGCAATTTGATGCTGGATAACCTTCCAATTCTTTATTTGCTTTGCAGCCATCATCCAACAACTACAATGTCAGACAAGCCAACAACAGCAAATCAGCTTATTCAGACAAGTGGCATACCGAGACAAAACTTCACATGAGAGGTTTTAGTCAACAGCAAAACATATTCTTGAAAAATTAGCGTGTAATAAACCATTATATTATGAAACAGTGCCTCAAACTGGAGAATATTTTTGGACCTTAATTTCAATTTACTTCATAAATTCTTTAACCAGATGAAAGCATATACCAAATATTAAGTCTTGAAGCAATCAGGAATCTCTAAAAATATTCAAGCTAGGGCAGAGAAGGGACATGAGTGCTACTAACTACACATGGTAAAAAAAAAAAATACAAATTACCATAAGTGAGTTTTCACTTTTAGAAAAATACAGTACACAGTAGCCTCGTTCCCACCAAAATTTCTCAAAATGCTCCTCAAAGACCAATTTCCTAGGAAATATCCATGTTTGCACTCAAGAAAGATATCTGAAAATGTAAGATAAAAGCAATTGTGCAGCTTTTGTGCAAGAAAGACAAGGTGTTTTCATAAGTCTGGGTGTCCTTTTCATATAAATGGATAAATCACAGTAACAAAGAAATACTTTATAGAAAGGTTCAAAAAGAAGATGGCATGATTCTGACAGTTAGCCATAGGTTAACCATTATGGCGTAAACATCCTCTTGGTAATCAAGACTGACTCTCTAACTCAGTGAAAAACTTGTAGCTGGGATTATGGAACCTCTGTTATTTCTGGATTTGAAACCCCTCTTTACATTTCTTAGCATGCACACACATTTCAATGAAGAATTCAATGGGAGGAGATGTTAATGCATGTTGATTCTTCCTCAATTTTATTTGATAGGTAGATTGTTCATTACTGTTTATATTCAAAATACATAGCAAAGACACCTAAATAGACTAAAGCAAAATAGACGATCACTTCTATAAATGTTTATTATATGCCTTTTGGTGTTTTCTCCCTTAAACAGATGAATCAGAAATATCTAGACAACACAGAGAATCACCATTTGCTAAAGGAAGCCACAATGGATTTGCTTTTCTGAGGTTTTCTGCCCTGATTTGTATTTCAATAAAGTGAAGATCACCCCAATTTAAATCTTTAACTAGAGTAAAGCTAAAAAGCTTTGCTCTTATAATTTTAGATCGATGGTTTGCAAACAGTAAACTTTTTAAAAACGAGGACTAATACAAGGTTGCCAACTTTTCATTTTGCCAAGAAAAAAAATTTAAACCCAAATACCATTTACTTTCATCATTTTATAAAATAAAGACTATTTTACAACATATCCTCCGCAAATTAGGATACAGTTTCAGAATAAAAGGAGGTCCTTTAAACTGAATAAAAGTATCTTTCTGGAAAAAATTTTCTAAAATAATCTTTTATTTCATGGATATTTATTGCAATGTTTTATAATAGCAAAGAATAAGAAAAAATCTAAACATTCAATATCAGAAAGGGATTAAATAGAGTATTATCACATGACTATCCATAAGATGAAACGGTAGACATTCTAAATAAGATTTATTGACACAGAAAACATTTAAGTGAAACAGTAATTTATAAACCAATAGGGACAATATAATTCTATTTTATAAAAAAAGTTTCTAAAATTTTTATGTCTATAAAAAAGACTAGAAGACTCTCAAATAAAATGTTAGCCACAATTTTCTGTGTGGCATGGCATTAAAGTTTTTTTTCCTGCCGGTCTATATTAAAATCATCCTTAATAATTGTATGTTGTCATTTCTCATGGACCATGAAAAACTTTCTCAAACTAATTTGCATAATAAATTTTGGAATGAATGTGTATGTATAAAACATGTGAAGCATTGGCTACTAAATTAGAAATGGAAAACATAATTTACTTGCAGTTACAAGGAGATCTTATATCATCATTTGGGTGGGACAATATATCACCAACAAAAATACTATTGCTAATGTAGTTACTGTAAAGGTTAGTTCAACAACCTGATTTCAGTTTGTGCTCACAAGTTCAAAAAAAGTCTTAAAATTCTATATTAGCTATAAAGATTTGGTTGTTAATTGTAAGAAACCACACGATTTTTCTTCTTTCAAACCCTAGACTCCTAAGAATATGTCTACTAAACGGGAGGTCAAAATATGTAAAGCTACCTAATTCATTCTCAAGTTCTGGATTATCATGAAACTAAGAAAATATGATGTACATGAGATAAGATACAAGTATATCTCAACTAACAAATCTTAGAAAATGAATCAGATCCAAAAACTGAAGAATTACAATATATCAACAACTTTCAGTAAGGCCATATTATGTAGAACAATCATAGTCACTTTAGAAGCACAAAAATTACAAACTTCAGACAATGGTCTCCAAATCACAAGTTACCTACAAAGTGATGGAGACTTTACCCTCTTTAGCTTTACCTGGCTAAGATGTTTTATCTTTGCCCTCTAACACCATGTGACCAAAGGAAATCCTAATTTACAGCTATGTAAATTAAGCCCTAAAGAGAGTAAATTGAATCATTCTGCATAAATTATTACTGATGGATCAAGTCCAATATGTCAAAGACCCCTGTACCATAAACCTATCCTACATTTCAAAATTAGAACTTAAGTTAAAGGACCTAAGGGCTGAGGCTGACCTTCAACCTGAGTAGTCAGCAAGCATGCTGAGTTGAGATGTGTCCCATCTACAAAGCCTGCTGTGAGATGCTTTAAAGGGAAACTCCACTACCTTAACTCTGGAGTCACGGGCCACAGAGACTTCAAGGACATCATCACTTGAGAACCAGCTGAGGCTGGCAAAGCATCATTTTGGAGGTCTCGGCTGGACCCATGCTGGTATGCATGTGATGGATGTATAGTCATGATCCCTAGTTGATTCTGTTTGCTCTGAAGTTTCCTTTCTTGAGGCTTTCCAGGACGTTTCTGGGAAAATCATCCAGGCAACAAGGTACTGCCCCTGGAATCTCAATGCTCAATATTACATCTTGGGGCAGGTGTAGCATCCAAAGCAGTCACGACTCTATCAGAAGCATTAGAGGCACAGGCTGTGCCACTCTTGTGGCAGAAAACCTGGGCAGAACCGGAAGTAATGGAGCCACTCCTCCATTTTCCTGAAAGGAGGGAAGGGAGAGGGGGAGAAAGCAAAACAATATGGGAGGGAGGGTAAAAACCTACAAACAAACAATGACCGGAACTGGTGCATGAGAGAATAAATAACAGAACCCCAAAACCCACACAAACTAAGTCTTCTAAATCACATAATGAACACTAAGATAACGCCTTATTACACCTTCATCTACTGAAAGAAAGCACAAATAATAATAGTAAGAAATGAGTCTAACAAAGCATGACAAACAAGTAATCAGGAAAAAAAAAAGCAAAAGCCAACAAAGCCTTTAGTAATTCTGATCCTATCGAGAAAGAAAATCAGTAACCTCTCATTTAAGCACTTAAACAGGAAAGTAAACCATTTCTTGCTGATAAGTAAATCAATAATTCAAAATGTTGAGTTTCTTAAAAAGGAACAATCAAAAGAAGGACCTCTTACACCAGGGAGCTTTAGAGAAACAGCCACAACAAAAGCAACACAAAATGTTAGAGCTAGAAGAAAGGACCTTAGGGTCTACCTCGGTCATTTTATAGATGAGGAAACAGGCTTAGAGAGGGGAAATGACTAGCCAAAGAAATAAAGCTAGTTAGTGAGTGGCAAAGCCAGGAATAGAATCCCAAATCCTAAATCTCAATGTATTATTAATTTTACTATTATTTTGCCAGTACTATACTCTCTAGTCATTAACACTTCTGCGCTAATGACGTCCTGGAAAAATACATTATACTCACATTTCAAAAATTATCTGTATTTCACTGATTTCAAATTTATGTATTTAGAAATAAAAGAATTCAA